AGCGTAACACAGTTTACAAAGAAAATATTCTACATTCTACTTTGGTGAGTAGCATCTGAGGTCTTAAAAGCTTCTGAGTGACCATCTAAGATACTCCACTGGTCTCACCCCATCAGGAGCAAGGGAGAATGAAGAAAACCAAAGACACAAGCGAAAGATTAGTCCAAATAACTGACGAACCACAAGTACGACAGCCTCACCAGACTGAGTCCAGCACAACTGGATGGTGCTCAGCTACCACCACCAACTGCTCTGACAGGGATCACAATAAACGGTCCCAGACAGAGCTGGAGAAAAATGTAGAACAAAATTCTAACCCACAAAAAAAAAAAAAAAAAAAAAATTCACATTTACTGGTCTGACAGAGACTGGAGAAACCCCGAGAGTATGGCCCCTGGACACCCTTTTAGCTCAGTAATGAAGTCACTCCTGAGGTTCACCCTTCAGCCAAAGATCAGATAGGCCCATAAAACAAAACGAGACTAAAGGGGCACATCAGCTCAAGGGAAAGGACAAGAAGGCAAAAGGAGACAGGAAATCTAAGGTCGAGACGGGGAGAGTGTTCACATGTCATGGGGTTGGTAACCAATGTAACAAAGCAATAGGTGCACTAATTGTTAAGTGAGAAGCTAGTTTGTTCTATAAACCTTCATCTGAAGTACAATAAAAAATAATAATAATAATAGAGTACAATAATAAAAAATAGCCCAAGAGCAAAAGAAATCAGGTAGAACTTCATGGCAATAAATATTTGGAGATTAATAAAGTAATTATAATAAATATCTGTTCTACTTTGACCCGCCCCCCACCAGGGGAAGTGCTATATAATTATTACAAACGAATGTTTTCATTCCATTACTTAATTCAAATAGAAGGCAGCAATAGGGCAGGGACAGCTAGGATGGAAATTCTGTGGGACATTACTACAAACAAAGGTCTTACTATGTACTAGGCACTGGGGTTACAAAACCGAAAGATGCAATATCTATTCTCAAGGACCTCGCAATTGATATTGGATAGAGAGAGACAAATTTAACTTACAAGATAATAAGGAACTCAGAAATTGTATCCTCCAATGATAGGTCTACAATAGTGGTAAAGAACTGCATGAAACAATGGCCCAATCTTTGATTTCCTGAACATTATTTTCAGGCTGCCATGATTTCCAAATAGGCACTTCAGAAACACTACAACCACAGAAGCAGAAGTGTTCAACAGATCACTTACTACCACTGTACTAGTGGCCTATATCATGATAATCCACATTAAGTACAAATGTACTTTTTGTGTAAAGTACTAATACAATAAACCAAACCAAATCCGTTGTCATCGAGCGATTCCAACTCATAGCAACCATACAGGACAGAGTAGAATAGCCTCACAGGGTTTCCAAGGAGCAGCTGGTGGATTCAAACTGCCGACCTCTTGGTTAGTAGCCAAGCTCTTAACCACTGCACCACCAGGGTGCCTTCCTATGTTTATGTTTGGTGATTTCCCCGCTGTATGAATACTGGTGGGAAGCAGAGCCTGCTTCCTATCTTAAAAGTTTAAAAGACCAACAACTCACTGTCATGGATTGAACTGTGTCCCCCAAAAATATCTGTCAACTTGGCTAGGCCATGATTCCCAGTATTGTGTGACTGTCCACTATTTGCTCATCTAATGTGATTTTCCTGTGTGTTGTAAATCCTATCTCTACGATGTTAATGACACGGGATTAGCGGCAGTGATGTTAATGAGGCAAGACTCAATCTACAACATTAGGTTGTATCTTAAGCCAATCTCTTTGAGATATAAAAGAGAGAAGTGAGCAGAGAGACAGGGGGACCTCATACTACCAAGAAACAAGAGCCAGGAGAACAGCATGTCCTTTAGACCCCGGGTCCCTGTGCTGAGAAGCTCCTTCACCAGGGAATATTGATGACAAGGATCTTCCCCCAGAACCGACAGAGAAAAAGCCTTCTTCTAGAGCTGGCACCCTGAATTTTGACTTCTAGCCTCTCCAACTGTGAAAGAACAAATTTCTATTTGTTAAAGCCATCCACTTCGGGTATTTCTGTTATAGCAGCACTAGATGACTAAGACACTCCCCTTCTCAATTTCCCTTGCAGCAATGCTGTAGGCAATGACAGAAGCTCAGCCAATCCAAGACACCCACTAAGGACACCGAATCAGAAGCTAACACCATAAAGAAGCATGGTTGAGAGCAAACTTCCTGATAGTTGTGGCAACAGCAACAACAGTTTCCCAAGTAGCAGCAGTAACAGCCATGGCACCGTCAGAGTCCAGAGTGCTGGTGGTACACACTGCAGAATCCCAGTATTACCAGGCAGCAGAAGGGGTGCACTCCCCACTCCCCCAGACATCAACAAGTTCTACAGTGCAGTTCTGACTGTGGAGCTTCCCTTGGTTCCTGCCCATTTCAGAGCCTAGTTTCTCCAAACTCTACAGCAATGTCGAGAGAACTCTCCAATACTCTTTCATGAAATTCCCTTTTTTTGCTTAAATCGCTACAATTCTTACAAATAAGAAAAAAGGGTGATAGACAGCAGAAATGAAACAGTATGGTAAATGAAGAGGCATTCCAGCCACAGTGGGCTGGGTTTGTGAAGTTTATCTTGGAAACTGGACAATTCGATGGGTCACGTCACTCAAATTCAGCTCTAATTAATTCAGTTACAGAATTCAGCATCATTTATTCATTCCAAAACTTTTCTGTTCCGAGTACTAAACAATTTGGTAGTATGATTTTATCTGCAAAATGACCCATATTTTCATCATCAATTAATATTATAGGATTTAAGAAACAGTTTTCTACTTTGGACTACATCCAAACTCTGGATACACCCCAAAGCATTTAACAGGAGCCCAGCTTTCTGTAATTTGCATGAGTGAGAATCAAACGTCTATGATTCTAAATGCTGGGGGCATCAGGAAAAAGGCAAGTCTTGAAAGGAATGAATTGTTTTCAATCACAGTTTCCAAAAAGAATAAGGTTCTCTAACCTCAACAGATATTTTTAAATGCTATCATTACTTCAAGAAGCAACAGCTACCATTATCTAGTAAGTTTAAAACGTTAAATCAAATTAACTCCCCAATGATGAACCAAATCAAATTAATTCCTCAACTACGAACCAAATATGGATGTAGTCAGATTAATGGTAAAGCTACAGAGTTGAGCTTTGAATTTACTTCCCCCCTCCACCCACCCTAATCCCAGACTAACAGGGATGGTTGTTGTTGTTGTCAGTTGCAGTTCAGTCAGCTCTGCCCATGGCGACCACACGTACAACAGAATGAAACGTTACCCGGTCCTGTGCCATCTTCACGATAGTTGGTATGTTTGGGTCCACTGCTGTGGCCCCGGTGTATTTTTTTTTTTTTTAAGTGCCTTCCAACCTAGGGGTAAACCCTGGTGGCATAGTGGTTAAGAGTTCGGCTGCTAACCAAAAGGTCTACAGTTTGAATCTATCAAGCACTCTTTGGAAACCCTATGGGGCAGTTCTACTGTCTCCTATGGGGTCTCTAAGAGTCGGAATCAACTCAACGGCAACGGGTTTCCAACCTATAGGGCTCATTTTCCAGCACTATACCCGGTAGTATTCTCTTGTTATCTACAGGATTTTCATTTGCTCATTTTCAGAAGTAGACTGCCAGGCCTTTCTCCCTAGTCTGTCGTAAGTCTGGAAGCTCCACTAAAAGTTGTCCACCGTGGGTGACTGGGCTGGTATTTGAAATAACGGTGGCATAGCTTCCAGCATCATAGCAACATGCAAACCACCACAGTAGGGCAAAATTATGATGGGTAGTGGAATGGGTATGGAAGAGCAGTCAAAATGATCCCACTCATCTCAAACTCAAAACAGAGCTCTTCTCTCTGGCACACAATAGGAACTCAACAATATTTGGTGACTGAACACAATGTGACACATTTACATAAATTTCTTTCGCAAAGCACTTTACACTGGCACAGTGCTTCGAGGTTTACAAAACACTTTTGCATGAAGTCTTGCATCTAGATAGGTGGTTAAGGGTTAGCCTTGCCTGCACAGCCATTAAGTGCCAAAGCACACCATCATATCCCAGTAATTTATGCACCCACACACATTTTTTGCACCTCTATTTCAGCCCTTCTGATACACTCTGTTACACTTCATTATCTCTCTCATTTGATCTGCCCTTGTCCTGTTCATCTTCCTATCCTCAGGCCAAACAGTCCGGACCATAAACAACAACAACAAAAACCCAAACCCACTGCAGTTGAGTCGATTCCAACTCATAGCGACCCTATAGGAAACCAAAAAACCCGTTGCAGAACTGCACCATAGGGTTTCCAAGGCTATAAATCTTTATGGAAGCTGCCACATCTTCCTCCCGCGCGGCGGCTGGTAGGTTCGAACAGCCGACCTTTCGGTTAGCAGTCGAGCGCTTAACCACACCAGGGCTCCTTGGACCATAGGAAGTGCTCCGTAAACACCAGGTTTCTTCCACCGCCTCCAAGCCGAGTCCGTGCCCCGTGGAGCCTCAGGTGTGAGCTGATTTATACTTACTCCTGCTCTCACCTACCCTCATCCTTCCACCTGTGATTTCCACAGCAGTACCAATGAAGCTTCTCGCACAGACCACAGCCTTTCTGTTTCTCATCAAAATTACCCACGGCCCAACGCTTCCTCTGCCTGCGCCACTGGCTCCCCCAATTCCTACCCTAGTCCGGGGAAAGTGGGGGTGCGCGCGCCCAGCTGCGCCCTGCCAAGCTATAGGAGCTGCTCCTGGGACCTTAGCCCCGCTGCTGCATCCATGGGGTCGGCCGGACGGGGCTGTCAGCTGCGACGCGCCCCCAGGAGCACCACGTCAGAGAGAGCGGGGCCGGGCACCTCGCAGCCCCAGTGCAGCCCCGCCCAGACGGGGTCCCGGGGACGTGCTGCCCGCCCGCCGCCCCCAACTCCCCGGGACCTGCGCAGCTCGGGACCCAGGTGGGCGAGGGCGTCCCGTACGTACCCGAGCAGGCAGCGGTCGCAGACAACGCCACGACTCCCTTTGCACACCGTGTACGCCAAGGGATCCGAGCGGAAGAGCAGCTCTCCAGGGCGCAGCGCCGTTAAGGCGCGCAGCCCGTTTCCCCGGTCCGTGGTGCTGAACTTTTCCACCTTCAGCGGCTCCATCCTCTAGCAGGTCCCGCACCTCAGAAGTCCACCTTGTCCCGCGTCTCACGGGCCGCCGGGACCGCGCGCCTGCGCCCTGCGCGTACACGTACGCCCGAGGGGCGGGGGCGGTGCTGCCGGCCTCTGAGCATGCCCAGACCGCGTGCTGAGAGTCCCGCGGAGCAGGGGTGTAGAGGCGGTCCCACCTGGCCCCGCGAGCCTCTTGCCCAAGGCGGCTCTGCTTAGGAAGGGTAGTGGGGTTTCTTTCTCTTCCAACTTTTTATTATGAAAATTTTAATGTTTACGGAGAAGTTGGAAGAACCCTCCTCCTAGATCCAACAGTTCTAAGCATTTTGCCGTTTCTGCTCGCTCTTCTTTCCCTCTATATGTATGTAGGGGTGTGTGTGTGTGTGTATACAAACACGTATGTTGTTGAACCATTTGAAAGTAAGTTGCAGATATCATAACATTTCATAATTAATACTTTCCATGGTAACATTTCATATTTAAATACTTTAGCATGCAGTTCCTCTGAGAACAATATCCTATAAAACTACACTATCATTATCACATTTACAGAATTAACAATTCTATAATATCAAGCAAACTCCATATTCACTTTAAAAATGCCTTTCCTAACTGAGTTGTTCTTTTTAAAAACCAGGATCCAATCAAAGTTTCCGCATTCGTTTTTTAATGACGTTGATTCTTTTAAGAGTCCAAGTTAGAAGTCTTGTAAAACCTCAAACCTGGTTCTCCAACACTCCTGACAAGTGTGTGTGCAACCCTCCAACTATTTAGTAACTTCCTTTTCTGCTTAAATCAGCCGGAGCTGGCTTTTTTGCTTGCAAGATCCTGATAATGTACAGTCCCACATTCTGTATGTCTGGTTGTTTTCTAATGTCATTTAACTTGTCCTTCTTTCCCTGTATTTCCTGTAAACTGCAAGGCAAGTGTAGAGGCTACTCGAGGGCTTGATTTGATTGAAGTTAAACATTCTTTGGCAAGAATATACTGTACACACTGGTGTTACTGTACACTTCATATGGCATCACATCAGGAGGTGTAAGTCAGGTTGTCTCACTATTAGTAAAACTAAGTTTAATCAGTTGGTCAAAGAGGTGATTGATAGATCTCCTCATTGAAAGGTACCTTTTCTCTTTGCGGTTAGTATATAATCTGTGAGGTGATACTTTGGCATTGTGAGAATAGCTTAATTCCCACAACCTGGGAGAGGCAGACTTTTGACTCTCCTGCAGTAGTCCAGAATTGGCTGTGGTGTAATGGAAATAGCACTGCACCAGGATTCTAAAGACATGGATTTGAGTCTCAGTTCTGTGATGTGACCTGAGTAACTTCTCCAAGCCTGTTGTATTATCCTTACAATGAAGATGATACTTTACAGAGAAATCAAGATAAATCCTATGAAAATGCTTTGAAAAATTTTTAAAGCACCATAGAAATGTTAGAGATTATTATTATGATTAAGTATGTAAATATAGGATAATGCTTGCATATTGTATTCTACCAATGCTATCAGTATAAGCATCTCATACCAGTGCTTAGCATTAAGCATAATATGTAGAAGGAATAAAAAAATGGTTTACAGAACTAAATAACATGGGATAAGGAGTGCCAGACCACCAGGAACTAATTATGATATAGACTATCCCCAATTACTGAAGACTGCAAGAAGAGTTCTTAGGGAAAACATTACACTGGACTAAGATGGCAGAATCCAGTCTTGCCCATTCTAGAATGTGATTGGAGCCACTCAGATGTGTCCAATTTCCCCCCTAATATGTGTCTGGTTTTCCCTCCCTCTCATCAGACCCAGCAAGCCAACTGCCCCAAATCTTGGGTGAATTTCCCATTCCTTCCATTTAACTTTCTCCTGTATCCTTTTTCATTTCCCACTAGCTAGAGTTTGAATGTAGGGGTGGGGGTGAACCATCTTCCACCCTGAAGAAGAAAGCAGCATCTCAGAGAATGGTAGAATGAGAAAGGAAGAGCCCTCACCCCTGGACTGTGCCCCTGCTTGGACTTTTACATGAGAGAGACATCTTGTATAAGCCACTTTTATTTTGGTCTGTGTTTTAAAAAGCTGAACCAATACCACCATTTCTCAGACTCTCTTCCTGCTAGAGTATGCACACAAGACCTGAGCTTTCCCTGCCCAACCACCCATTCAGAGCTGTGGGGTCCTTAAGGAGCTTTGGCAGTTCTGGTGGCTAGCAGCCAGCGTGTCCTCACTGGACCAGTTCTGAGGTTTGAAGTTAGCTCCTATTTAGACCACGTGAACTCAGACATGGTTCTCCAACATTCCTGGAGATTCTGTGTGCAACCCTCCAACTGTTTAGTAACCTCCTTCTCTGCTTAAACCATCCAGAGCTGGGTTTTTTTGCTTGCAAGACCCTAACTGATAACCCCATGCCACTTGCCACCCTTTCATAATGCCCAACTATGCTAGGCTTCTTTCACTTTCTGCAGAGCACCATGTGTTTCCCACCTCAGGGCTGCCTCAGGCATAAAACACTTTTGCATGGGAGTGTGCGCACCCACACACATCCCATCAAGTGGTTGGCTCCTTCTCATTTCTTAGTTCTTAGCTTAAATTACCCTACTCAAAGAGGTCTTCCCTGACCACTCCATTTAAACTAGGTTCCAGCTGCCATCCTCTAGCAAGGTATCCTTTTTAATATCCTTTATTATTGTTGTTAGTTGCTGTCAAGTTGACTCCAACTCACGGCAACCCCATGTGTGCAGAGTTTAGCTGTGCTCCATAGGGTTTTCAAGGCTGTGACCTTTCAGAAGCAGGTCACTGGGCCTGTTTTCCAATTTGCAATAGTTTTTTGTTGTTGCTTTACTTGTTTAGTGGGAAAGGTAACACTGAAGTCGGGGGAAGTGTGCACAGCTTGACCAAGGTAAATGGTGTCACTAAGAAGTACACATACACAAAAAGGACATTTTTGGTAAATTCTAGGACATATATAATTTTGTAAGAACAGCAACAAAAAAAAATATTTGTGTAGTTATATATGTACGTGTGTATGCACATATGTGTATAGGTATGTATGTGTGTGTACATATATACATGTATCTATATGTATATGCAGAAACCCTGGTGGCATAGTGGTTAAGAGCTACAGCTGCTAACCAAAAGGTCGGCAGTTCGAATCCACCAGGCGCTCCTTGGAAACTCTATGGGGCAGTTCTGCTCTGTCCTATAGGGTCACTATGAGTCAGAATCAACTCAACAGCCACAGGTTTTATATGTATATGTATATACATGTGTATGCATACATATATATTCATCTATATAATAAAGCATATATGGGGTGCTTGTCGGGTTTTTGGTTTGGTTATAGTGGGCACAGTTACAGATACTTCTTAGACATAACCAAACACCTCGTGGGATTTGTTTTTTGGGTTTGAAGACTTAGGACCATAGTCTCACAGGACAACTCAGTGAATTGGCATAATAGAGTTCATAAAGTTTATATTCTACATCCTGTTTTGGTGAGTAGTATCTGGGGTCTTAAGAGCTTGCAAAAGGCCATCTAAGATACAACTATTGGTCTCTTCTCGTCTGGAGCAAAAGAGAAAGAAGGAAACCAAAGACTGAAAGAAGAAACTCGTCTACAGGACTAACAGTCTACATGAACCACAACCTCCTCTATTATGAGACCAGGAGAACTAGATGGTGCCTGGCTACCACTAACAACAATTCTGATCATGGCCATTTATAGATTGATCCACATAGAACGGGAGAAAAATGTGGAACAGAACTTGAATTATTTAAGGGTCCAGAATTACTGGACCAGTTGAGACTAGAGGACTCCCTGAGACTATCACCCTGAGATACTCCATAAACTTTAAATCAAAACTACCCCCTGAGGGCACCTTTTAGCTAAATAACAGATTAGTTCATAAAATAAAGAATATTACCAATGAATACTGCACACCTTTAAAAAATCATCTTTATGAGACCAAATGATCAACCATTACTCTAAAGCAAAGATGAGAGGGCAAGGGTATAGGCAAACAGAGTACTAGAAACAAAACATCCAGAATGGAATTAATGAGAATGTTGACACATTGTGAAAAATGTAACCAATGTCACTGAACTATTTGTGTATTAATTGTCAAACAGGAAGCTAAATTCCTGTGTAAACTTTCACCAAAAACACAATAAAATATTATTTAAAAAATATGTTTACGTATGTTCTAATTGTACTGTATCCACATTGTCTGAGCATATAGCCGTTAAATGACATACTCTTTCCCTTTTAACCTTCTATTAGTCTGAACTCTCTGAAAGTTATTATGTGTTCAGTTCTCACCACCAGTCCTTGTGTTGTTTTTCTCTCTAGTCATTTTTGTTGTCTGAAGCTCAGTCTGTAGTACATCCCTCAGGAAGGATTCATGGAAATAATATTCCCTCAGTTCTTGCGTGTTGGTATTATTTTGTGCCTGTGCAGGAAAGGATTAACTCAGCACTCCTCGGTTGCTCAAACCCTGCACACTCCCAAGAAAGGCCTGTCTTCAGGACTGGCCCTTGGCTGGCTCCTGAGACATGAGCCCTGAGTTCTTGGAATATTTTGCCTGGTAAGTGTTTTTTTGTAAGCCTGAGTCTTTGGGCCATGTGGTACCTGTATGATTAGATAGTTAATGCTAACAATGTGATTTATTGTGAACATCTGTTATTGGACTGTGGGCATGCTGATATGACTGATCCCAATAAAAACCTGGACACCAAGGCTCACGTGAGCTTCCCTGGCTGACAACCCTCTGATTGTGTTGTCACACATAATTCCTGGGGAATTAAGTGTGTCTGTGCAACTCCACTGGGAGAGGACACCTGGAAGCTTACGTCTGCTTTTTCCTGGACTTCACTCCGTGCACCTTTTCCCCTTGCTGATTTAAATCTGTATCCTTTCACTGTAATAAACTGTAATTACGAGTGTAACAGCTTTGCTATGTCCTATGAATCCTTCTAGTGAAACATCGAGCCTGAGTGTGGTCTTGCAGACTTCCGAAACAGTGCTCTTGTATTTGAGAGTCAGTTTTGTCGGATGTAAAATCTTTGGCTCATATTTTCTTTCTT